ACGGCTACAAGATGGATAGATGGATCAATGGCTGTGATCTAGTATTAATATTTGGTATGTATATACTCGAAAGGATGCTATGCCCTCGCCTGAGTTAACAAGAAGGATCCGAATCCAGCTCCCATACGTGCTACTAGAAGGAGATTAATTAATTAAGAAAGGAGATTGGTTCTCAATACTTGGATACAGGCGACATGAAGATTGAGTGCAACATATGACTATTTTGACCGACGGGTGTTTAATTTGGCATGCATAGTACTCCCTCCGGTTCTCTAAAGCAAGTCGTTTTGGACATCGACACGGTCTTTAAGAAACGACTTTGACTGCAACTTTTTGCTATAAAATATTTATAAAATATAGTCAATATATACTTTTATGAAACTACATTTCGAGATGAATCTATTTACATCACTTTCATATTTTCAAACTCAACCCAAAAGAAGTTATTTGTAGTCAAAGTTTAAAATGTTTGACTTAAGACAACCTCAAAACGACTTGCTTTAGAGAACCGAAGGGAGTAATTGCTAGCTAGTTTGATTGAAGACCATCAAAAGGGACGTACATGCAGATGTGAAGTATGTATTCACATTACTTTAATGAGTACGTGTTTGGAACCTGGCCATGCCTGTACGGACGGGACTCGGGAGCTTGGTGTCAGGTATACCGGTCTCGTTCGCTTCGCTGAAAAAACAAACCGAAACACTGTTCCGATTGATTTATTGTGAGAGAAAAATACTGTTCCGATTGAAAAAACAAGCTGAAAAGTACGTATTACAAGAGAAGCGAACATGGCCGCAGCTGTACGTTGATCATGAAGCAAGAAAGACAAATCTAAATTGGGAATTGGATACGGTAATGCATAACACGTACATGGCAAGCTCTCGGTCATATAATACACGTATACGCTGTCGTGTTCTACTCGGACTCACAAATTAATACGGCTACTAGCGTAGGGAAACCTTGTCTGGTTGTAATTCTAGAGATATTCATGTACTCATAGAAAAGACCAGCCGACCTATAAATATAAAGAGTAATGGCTGATTAACAACACACAATCGAACTTATCAATATACATCTACTTTTTATCTTTTATTGTCATGCCTTCCAATCTACTATTGCTTTTCATTCTTCTGGCGAAGCCCTAGAAATGGTCAGGCAAGTGTTGATCAATACATACAGACGGGTCCCTCCCGGACGTGTGGGGTTTGGTCTCAAAGAGTAATAAATAATACGGCGAGGCTCCTCCAGTGACTAATCGCGCTCAACAACGATGACACTGCGAACAAGTATGATTTTAAACATTGTGTTCGGTTCCCATTTAACTAAGGTTGTCTTGCACCCCGTTCCCCGTGGTGCAAGTGTTGGATCAATACACAGTGACCAAAGTAATAAATAATACCTTTCAGTACTAACAACAACAACTAATTTTAAACATTTATACATATATATATGATTCATACAGGGAGGACAAATCATGCCCTGTGAAATCCATAGTTAATTTGGCAAGATACAAAGTAATGAGTATAAACAGTCCTCATCTCACACAAGGACTCTGATCTGCTCACTGTTCAAACACTTCCTGATCCTAGAGTATACATTCCAAAACTCCAACATGTTATGGACTAACTAAAACACTGAAGCAAAGCAACCTTAAGGCTATCTCCAACAACAACAACAACAAAAATACAAGACACATTCGTCCTTTGGGTAGCGCTACGGGCAAAATGTTCAATACATATTCGACATTTTCTCCAACAACAAGACCCAAAAGAGAATCCTTTCTGCAAATGGGTTTCCAGGAGAGAGGATGTCCATATTTAGGTTGTGCCTCTCGGGCAACCCAAAATAGGTCTCCCGTATAGGTACTCTGTTGGAGGCTGATTTTGAATCTCTTGCTACCCATTTTGGGTTTAGATGCTCATATAGGTTTTTTGTTGGAGACGGTCTAAGAGAGAGGTTTTTTCAACAAACTGGCATCAGTGTACCATATCCTATTAAAGAAGGAAGAGCGTGCCAAATCCTATTAATAAAGGAAGAGGGCTAGGTACAACCGTACAAGGACTTAAAAACGTATAGAGAAAAACAGTACGAAAAAAGAAGAGAGAAAATACAAAATGTACAGGAGTCAGCAAAGAAAAAGGCACCAAAACCTAAGAAAAACCTTAATGCCCCGTTTGGATGTAGATATTGAAGCCTGGAATTCGGAATTGGCATTGGGTGTCTTCTATGCCCGCTGTTTAGATGTTCTTGGTATTGGAATTGGAAATCTCCTCCAATACCAAGAGGTATTGGGCCTTCAGCCGCACCCCCTTCCTCAATTCAGACCCCTTCCCCTCCGTATTCATCGGCATTGGCACTCGTCTCGTCTCCATCTTGCATCCCCCGCTGCATCGCGCCTCACGTCTCCCTCTCGCCACTCGACTCCGGTGGCGCCCCTTCCTCTTCGACTCCGGCAGCACCCCACTCTCCATCGGCACACCACGCCGCCCCCATCCCCCGTCCTTCCTCCACCAGTAAGCTGTGCTGCCCCCCTCCTCCCTCCGTCGGCGAGCCATGCAGCTCCCACGCCTCGCGCCGCTCCAGTGCCCATTCGGCGAGGCGCGGGCGGCGTGGGGGAGCTCCGCCCGGGACCAACGAGTCGTGGGTGGCACAAGAAACCGCCGCCGCCAGTGTGGTCCGGTGTGGAGAGGAGAAGATGGTCAATTCTCAAATGCCATGGTATGAACATCCAAACACGAATCGGTATTCACTAGCTCCTTACGATTCCATCTAGCAATTTCATTTGCATCCAAACAATGGTTTTGGTATTATAACCCAATATCAATACTACTCTGATTTGGTATTGAAGCCAATTCAATGCCAAGGCCTCCAATATCGACATCCAAACGGAGCCTAAGAGAAGTGAAATTGATGATTAAGGCATAGACGCTTCGGTTTCCCTTATCAGTGGATATTACATTCTGCTTGAGCGGGCAGACGATGCATTGAAGCGAGGTGGGGTGAACGAATTCCCTATTTGACACTAGGAAAAATGTTACTTCTGTATACTGACACTAGAGAGGTTTGCCTCTCTTATTTGTTTCCTCGAGAAGCTCTGAAGAGAAGTCTCAGACCTTGTTTATTGACATCCTATTGCAAATGTATAGAGGATCCTAATCACCAATTTCATGTCCAAAATCCAGATCTCTGTTCTGCCAACTCAATTCCATTCAGCAAGACAAGCACCTAAAAGAGGCACACTGAAGCCCAATTATGAGAAATGTCAAGGTTCAAAAACTAAATCTTAACAATACTAGTTAATGATGTGACATAAAACCATGACTTGAGGTTGGAGGCTCTGTGGTAACATTACAAGATCATTACCAGAAGGGAGAGAAGAACTGTGGCTAAATGAACATTTCTGCTAGACTGCTACCATTTTCTAATGGAACTACAGGGAACTAATTTTTTGAAATATAAAAAGATGAAACCAAGAGTGCCTTCTACATCAGCAACTGCTTTATTTACCAATGAGCCATGATCTCCAAGTCAATAATGGAGATATCAGATATCAAGCAGTGGTGGAGACAAACAAGCTAGACAAGGAGTGCTGGATTGATTGAAAAATGGATTGAATTGCAAGTTTTAGGCTCATTTTTCTCTTAGGATTAATTTTTAGACTTATATTTCCCTTAGAGATTCTACCGGCATGGCCAGTGCTGCAGCCCCAGCAGCACCAAGGACAAGGAACTGGTAAGCTGGGGCTGCACCCCTCATGGTCATGGCGCTACCTAGATTTTAGCTAAGCAGTATTCGAGATGGAAATGTCAAAAGGATACTAGTGGGGTGTTCGAGAAAAAAAACTAGTGGGCACCACTGCATTATGGAGCAGTTATTCGAGACCGGCTATGTTGTATGGAGCAGAATGTTGGCCTACAAAGTTTCGACATGTTCAACAACTGAGTGTTGCAGAAATGTGTATATTGCGATGGATTTGTGGTCACGCAAGAATGGACCGAATTAGGAACGATGATATCCGTGACCGCCTAGGGGTAGCACCAATTGAAGAAAAGCTTGTCCAACATCGGTTGAGGTGGTTTGGCTATGTCCAAAGGAGACCTTCAGAGGCACCAGTGCATTGTGGAGTCCTGAGCTAAGCTAATAATGTAAGGAGAGGTAGAGGTAGACCGAAAATGATATTAGGGGAGGCAATAAAAAGAGATTTGAAAGCTTGGGATATACCTAGAGGTCTATGTTTCAATAGCAGTGCTTGGAAAGCAGCTATTGAAGTGCTTGAACCGTAACTAGAGGCTCTTGGTGGGTTTCAACTCTAGCTTACCCCAACTTGCTTGGGACTGACATGCTTTGTTGTTGTTGTGGTTGTTGTTGTTGTTGTTGTTGCACCAATGCATTATGGAATATTATTCAGTGCCCAGGTGGGATGCCCACAAGAAAAGGGGAAAGTGTAGTTCGCCGAGTTCGTCAGTTGAAGTCATTTCATGAGACAATATTCTTAGATCTTTATACTCTATGGGGTTTTCTAAAATTAGTCGAGTATGAAGCTGATATAGTGGTATATACTAGTAAGTGATGACAGATGGTATAGCCATTTTTAGGAAAAGAAAACAATCACTGGAAATACTCAAAGAAAGAGAAACATCTTATCCCTTAAACCAGTGGACTCTAATCGTAATTAAACAACAAAATCAAGTTAGATATATTAAAAACCTAACACAAGTATAACAAATACTAGGTTTTAGTCGAGAAAGATTAGGACCCTTTATTGTATACTAGACCATGCCATGTGATTGTATAAGCCAATTGACCTAGTTATAATAATCATTTAATGCAGCCAACAAGCCCAGAACTATTCTACAGTTGTCACACCATTGCCCTAGAGCTAAAATAAATTGAACTCATATGCACAGTTGTACTAACATACTGAAACCATCACGCGCAATAAGAGTAAAAGGCGATCCAATATTATAGGGTAAGAACATACCATGCAACAACAGAAGGCGTCACTTTAGTATTACTTTGATTTGAGAGAAAGGGGCAATCTTCTCCCACTCTGGACCTTGCTTCTCAAGGAGCCCTTGAATCAACACTGGATGGCACCCAGTCAAATGAAGAAATTCTAGGGACAATGGAATGTTGCTCGGTAGTGTTTGAAACCCTGGGCAGTGCAAGATGCTAAGTTTGTTAAGAGATCTCATTCCCTCCAGCTTAGCTGGTAAAGACTCTGTCTTTACTCTTATGCACCTCTCAATGATCAAACTTTTTAGGAAAACAAAGCTATCCAGGTTAGCCAAGGAAGAAAGCATCTGGCAATCCTGAAAGCACAAATGCTGGAGTGTTTCAAAATGCCTTGAACCTGCTGGCAAGAGAAAAGATGTGATATTCTGGCAGTAAACTATGTCTAATGAGGCAAGACCAGTTAAGTGCTGCAAACACAAACTCAGCTGTTCACCATCCATGTTGCACTGAGAGAATCGCAATTTTCTTAATGATGATAATAACCGGAATCCTCCAGCATGCTCCAAACCCCAACAACCTCTAATATTTAGAACCTCAGTAGCTTCAAGGTGTTTCTGGTGTAAGAACCCTTCGTTCAATATGCGTCCAGAAGAAATTTCCAAAATGAATTTGCATGATTTTGATGAACAGTATGGGGTCAATTTGAGATCATAAATCTTTTGAGTTCTTTCTACTGTCACACTTTTTGTTGTAGGAGGAAGCAAGGGCACTTCAATCAATTTCGGACAGTTTAAAATCTTCAGTTTCTGCAGGCAAGGAAAAAATGAGGCACCATTTTCTCCAACCCAACTAAGTAAGTTTGGCATATCATCAAACTCAAGATACTTCAGTGATGGAATCAGTAACTGAGCACATCTCCTTAAGGTGCAACACCTTCAGAAGTGGAAGCTGTCCAAGTGAAGGAAGTAGCTTCCACCTCCTGCAGTTTGTCAGATACAAGGACTTAAGCTGGGCAGAATTTTCACCTCCCACCGGCTTGGTGATGATTCCCCCTTGTACCTTTTAATATGAAGCTCTTCCAAGTTTGGATTAGGTTCTAAGCCTTCTAATACTTCCGCATCCCTGGTGGGACCAAAAGCTGAACTCGCAGAGTTCCATTCAAGTTTCAGAATTTTAAGATATCGCTTATTGAATAATTCAGCATTGCAAGCTTCCTCCTTGCATTGAACGTTTTCCAGGTACTTGATGTGAAGTAGACCATGAAGGTCGTTCATATCCTTCAACTCCACTAAGCTCTGCTCTTGTTCTTTTTTAACATGGAATTCAATAGACCCTTGAAGATTAACTAGAGTACCAATACCCCTTATCATTGAAATGTATGTTAAATCTACGCCAAGATGCCGCAAGTTGACCAACAGGTGCATGCCCTTAGGAAAACCATCGAGCTGACACTTCTTTGGAATATCAAGAGTCTGAAGATGCAGTAACATGCTCACAGATTCAGGTAGCTTCTTGATAGTACCAGGAAGTGCTATGTAACGCAGATGAATTAGATAACCAATTGCTTCAGGTACCTCTGATATAAGACATCCTGTGAGATCTAACGTGCGGTACATTCTTTACCTCAGCAAGAAAATCATGTGGAATAGTACTTGGGGTCATCGATGAATCTTTAAATACAACTAATGTCCATAATCTTCTCAAGTCAAATTGCTCCTTCAGCCGTGGTAGAGAGCTGCTTTATTGAGTTGCATGCACCGACCAGTTCAACCCAAAAGCTTAAGTTGATGAGGAGAGGTGGGCAATTCACTTATATTCTAACACTCCCCCTCAGCTTAAGCTGATGGGGAGAGGTGGGAAATTCACTTATATTCCTGATGGAGGGAGAGGTGGTAATAATAGGAGCGAGCAACAATTATTTTATTTAATTAACTAACCCCCCTCACGTGGAGACCTCCCTCGAGGGCACATTGAGTTGTATGGAATAGGAGCGGCTTCAAGCAACAATTATTTTATTTGGGAGAAAGCAATTTATATTCCAACATGCTTGAAACAGATACATGTCTAACAGTCGACGGTATGGTTTTAGACTTGTTGCCTTCCATCCTTGCACAATCACAGCAGGAAACGATTTGTGCCAAATCATGAATCAGGTCATGCATGACATAGTGCGTTCTGTTTCCCTGCCTAAGAGTATGAAAGAATGATCTTGCCAACAGTTGTTTGAAATATTCTATACCTGCATCCTCCATGCTTCCATTTTCCATATGAACAAAACCCTGTGCTATCCACATTCTGATCAATTTCTTACGCTCAAACTTCCAGTTCTTTGGAAATATGCTGTAATATGCAAAGCAATGTTGCAAGTGTTGCGGGAGATGATAATAGCTCGACAGAAGTGTCGAGACAATGTCACCATGAATATCTGTCTCCGAGATATTGTTCCACTCCCTTGCAATTCGAGTATTACTGAGCCTCCCACCAATAACTCTGGCTGCAAGAGGGGATCCATTAAGATTCGATGCAATTTTCCTCCCAATATCCTGCAAACGTGGGTGTTCGCGACTATTCTCGCTACCTAGTGCACACTTCTTAAGCAGCAACCAATTCTCTTTAGTTTCCAACCCACCTAACATCACTGGCATCCTCACGCCTAGCATGTCAGCAACCATCTTCATGCGTGTCGTGACAATGATCCTGCTTTCTTGATTCCCCTTCTGCAGAGGAGCTAGTAGCTTCCTCCACCTCTCCCCGTTATCCCACATGCTCATCTCGTTGTCATCCCAAACATCATCTAGGACAAGCAAGAACCTCCTCCCTGCAACAGCAGAGACAAGCAATTTTTGCAGCCTATCAAAATTCACTATCCCATCATAATCCACCTTCCAATCCGTAGCAGCCTGCAGTATCTCCCTAGTAATCCTCATATCATCCAGATGGATAGAGACGCACACCCACATGAGGGGATCAAAGTGCTCCTGAATGTTGGCATGATTAAATGCCGTCTGAGCCAGCTTCGTCTTGCCGATCCCACCATCCCCAACAATGGCGACAACCGGGACACTCTGGCTCTGTAGTTGAGCAGAGCCGTTGCCACCAACTAACATTTCGACCAGAACGTGGAGCTCGCGTTGGCGGCCGAAGAAGGCGTCGTCGGCCGGGATGATGGAGCTAGAGTTCCTGGAGAGCCGGTTCCCACACTGCGGCGACTTGGGGGCATCGATCCCCACGAGGGAGGCGATCCCGGCGTAGTCCGCACACGCGTTGGCGAGCTTGTCGAGGACGGAGGGCAACCGTTTGAAGGGGTGGTCGGAGCATACTAACACCAGGCGGCTGCAAAGCTGGCCGGGGGTGTCGAGGATGCTGCAGAGGTCGGGGCGGGGTCCGATGAGGGCATCCGCAAGGCGCCTGTAGCTGATCTCGTCGAGGATGTCGTCGGCGTCGTGCGCCGCGTCCTGGAGGCGGTTGAACCAGGCGAGGAGCGTGGGGTGGGGCGGGCGGCGCTGGGCGCGCTCCACGGTGGAGGCGTACGCCTGCAGGCGGCGGAGGTAGTCCTTGAGGCGCTCGAGGTCGGCGGAGGCGGACTGCGAGAGGGGGAGGTAGCGAAGGAGGTCGTCGGCGTAGGAGCGGAGCCGGCTGCTCAGGTTGTCGAGGAACGGCGACACCAGCCACCCCGAGGCGGCCGCCGCGGCCGAACACGCCATTGGAGTCTCCGTCCGGGGCTCGACGGGGAGTTCGATGCGGGCGGGGCGGCGCAATTCGCTGGCTGGTTGGAGTGGTGTGGGGCAGGCGGAGGCGCCATCGCCGCGTCGGGGAAGAGGAATCGCGAGGCCGTGGCGTTGGAAACGTCGAATTCAATTTTTTTCCGGACTCGTTCGGCTGGTACGGAGGAAGCACTATTCACGGCTGAATTTCACTGTTTATGGATGATTTTATCTCATAAATTCCTCCAAATTCATCCAGATTCCTCCAAATTCCTCCAATCGAACAGGGCCGTTTGTTTTGTTTGGGAGGAAGGACCAAGGTTTCCCGGACAAAATATGAATTTTCGTTTGCTAGAATGGGCTAATAGTACAAATTTTAATAAAAGATAGTCAAAGTTAAAAAATCTCAGTGGAAATTATACTAATTTAATCCTCGTTCGGTTATACGAGAATGATTCCCGGTCGCACAATTCGTTCGCAAATTTGTACTGGATCAGAATTGTTCCGCGCTAGGAACAGCCCGTTTTGGCATAACCGAACGGGGCTTAGTGGGTTTTGTCCCTCTCCTCCACCTCTAGCCAATGTAGAACCATAAAACATGCCAAAAATTCTTACAATATTGAGTAGGACATATGGATCCATCTATCGCTAGTAATCTAAGGTATTTTAAGTATCAAAAGAGAGATAGCATAGAGTCTCGTTTATGGATGAAAGTCACCATGAATATTATAGAGCAAACAATATGCAAATTAGCCATATGATCTAGCAAATAATATCATTAAAGTATATAAATTAAAGGTTATTAAAGTATGTGCCGCCACTATGCTGTCAATGGGTAAGAAAATTTTGTGTAAATACACTAGTGATTCATGCACTTGTCATAACGTGTTATTTAGGTCCATAATAAACACTGAAAATATATCATCTTATCGGTGCTTCCTGCCGACGTGCCAATGTTAGGTTTTGCAGTTTATAGAGAAAACTAGGACTATAAGGATCGCATGAGAGGTAAGTAAATGGTTTTTGTATTATAACAAAAAAGTTTGCGTCCATATTTTTCCGTTTTATTCTGGCCTTCGCTCTGCATGTGCGTGCTGAGTTCGTGCATTTGTGGGCTGAGCTGTATCAAGTTGACGCCTGCGCACCACTTGGAGGCCCAGAAAGATGGCCCATTGGGCCCGTCCATTCATTTGCAAATGCGCCAGTTCACAACTCATTTATGCTTCCTTTCTCGTCTGGGCTCGATCCAGCCTCGATCCAGGCGTAGCTAACCTACATTTTTCTTACAAGTATTGCAAATTAATTATAGGCTTATATCATGCTATGCAGGTGTTAGAATTTATTTTCAATTTATATAAAATAAACCTATACCTATAATACCCATCCATGTAATATTAAACGTTGAACTAAGGGTATGTTTAAACTGCAGCAAAATATTGTCACAACTAAAGATACTTTATCTTGGTACTGTGGTAGAATAGCATCTAATAATACATTAACACTATAAGCAAATTGTGTATGAATTATAATGATAGAGAATTTAGAATTTATATTTTCAAATAATTTATGATGTATGCTATCACGTCACTTCAGTTTGAAGTTAAAGCTCAACTTATACATGGAAAAATGAAATTTGTTAAGTGATAAGCATGACTAATCGAAACAGTTGGGGAAAGTAAATCAAAGCAAATATTAGTCAAGGGGATTATCCAAACATAGGATGAATTTTGGAGGAATGATTTGGAGTTCTTTCTAGTTTTTTAGATGTTGCCGCAACATAGTCTGCCTAACTTCTTACACACTGAGCCCACATTTTCTTTTGTTTGCCTAGTTTTATCCCAGGTTAGGTGGTTAACTTTCTTCTTAGGTGTCATTTGAGTCCCATCGGATTCTAAGAATCCTGATAAAGAATCACAACAGTTTTATTAGATTTTGAGTTTCTAAAAATCTGTGTGTTGAAATCTCTCTAAAATACACACACGCACGCACACACACTTTTCTTTTTTTGCATTTCTCAGTAAAAAGAGAGCAGTGCAGTATAGAATTTTTTTTCACTACTTCCGGTGGATAAGGAAAGGCATACATATCATACGTGGATTAGTATAATTTAGGATACTACTCTATTTTTATGATTATACCACCCTCATCTTAACTTCCTATTCGACTCTTATGAAATCGAGTACCAGCATTTTACCGGAATCCATACATAAACCGTATTTGTTTGTTGTTAGAGAATGAATTTCATCTAATTAGTTACTTTTGGGGGTTAAACCGTACCCCTTCCATTTTCTAGTTCCAACTTTGCTTGTGTATGTTCAATGAATAATTGGAAAGAATCCACCTCATTCTCACTCCATTTGCCTGACTCCTTTTTTTATGGATTTGCTCTCATCTTTAGACCCCAAAAAGCGTATATTGATAATAACCTAATAAAATAAAAACCAAGCAAACGCTCTTTTCCTAAATTAAAATATGGGATCCTTTTTATTTAAGATCCTTTTTTCTCCATCTCATTTCTACTTCTACTGCTTATTGGGATGTCTATGTGACCTATAGAAAGTTGGTCATATAATACATACATAATTGTATGTGTAACTATAAGAAAAAGGAAGGGAAATTGGATAAGATAAGAACATTTTTGGGTTATACATATAGAAAAGCAAAAGTAGAAAAGAATGAAAAATAGAATAGAGGGGGTTTCGAATCCAATCAAAAAAACTATTTTGGTCTTAGTATGGATAAGAGATCTTCCTATGTTATATTATTCCACTATCAACCATTAATTGATTTGATAGATCCAATATTCATAATATTGAATTGATTCAGTATTATCAGAATGCAAGTCCTCCCCTTGAATTTACAGGATACCACTTTTTCCTCTCAATGGGATTACATCCCGAGTTACTATGAAAAAAAAATAAAGAAGTTTATATTGGAAATAGGTAGCGTCGAACTCCCCAAAGACGTCGAGGGCTAGTAGAAAACCAACGCAACGAGACAATGCAAGATGAATGTGGCGGAACGAGAGGTAGGTAGATCGTTAGTCAGTGTCGCACGCACGCCCACCACCGGATCGCCAGCACGCACGTTCGATTCAGCTGAGTGAGCCTGTGGCGGTGTGGCCACACAAGCTACACACCGCGCGCGCTAGCTACTACACGCACGCAGCCTGTGCTCTCAAGTGTCACCCCTGACCCCTCAGCCCCTGGCAGCGGCTCACATAGGTAGCTGCTGTTTGTCCTCCAACCGCGCGCCCCGCTCACATCAGACTACCAGAGGGCCGTTGCCCGTCCGGCTGCTGGTGCCGCCAGGGAGACGAGAGCGAAGGGAGTCAAGTCGGGCGCAGGGAGCTACTAGGACGGAACAGTCACGGGGGGATCGTTTGGGATCGGAGACCTTTTGCAGTTGCAGGCCCAGCCGTCCAGCCCAGGCCGTTGTGTCCTGCTCTGCGTGCCCCTGTTCCCGCATCGCCCGGCACATTACTACTACGCGCCGCGCAGGGCACAGGCGCACAGCACAGCTACATCGTCAGTGGCCGCGCGCCCACACGTCTAATGCACGTATACACATGATATATATATATATATATATATATACACACACACACAGCAGATCCAACGTGCCGTTGGGCACCGTGCTCGTCCCCGATTTTTTTTTATTTTTTAGCCTTTTTTTAAGTTTTTTTTCACAATCGTCGGGCGAAGAAAAGATTTTAGAATCGGAACTCTTAACTCGGGGCCATCGATCTTGGGATCGGAGACTTAACACGTCTCGGAGCAGGCCCAGCCGAGTCCAGCCGAGACCCACGTGGAGATAACATGGTAGGGAACTCGGCGCCAGTCACCCTGACGCCGGCGCCGAGTCTTTATTACGTATAGGTCCCAATCCTTTCTCCCCCCTCTCTCTCGCGCGCATCTCCCTCGCCTGAGCCGAGCAGAGCACCGCCACCGCCACGCCCGAAGCCCGCCACCGGCCGCCCGAGCAGTCGATATATATATATACACGTCTAGTGCACGTATACACATGGTATATATATATATGCGCAGCAGATCCAACGTGCCGTTGGGCACCGTGCTCGTGCCTCGTGCCTCGTGCTCCCCGTCCGGACGGTCGACCCCGGGCCGGCGGCGGGGAGGACACGCTGGCTAGCTAGCGTGACGACCGTGGGCGTGTGTGTGAGAGTACTGTGGAGTGGTGCCGTGGTGGTGATCTGCTGGGACTCGGTGGTGGTGGTGCTCAGCGCGCTTCTTCTGCCGTCCACAGGCCTTCGCCGCTACGGACTGTACGTGGTCACGTCGCTCCGCCGAGAAGGTAGTGGCACTGTGGTAGTAGGAGTACTCCTATCCTACGAGTATGTGGAAGAGATCGGTATCGAGTGGTGGTACGTGCATGCGCGGCAGGCAGGCTCAGCCTCAGCGCACCAATCATGACTCGGTCGATCCGTCGTGCTGGCCTCCGGGATCCTTCTACAGCGCCACTCGATCGGCGGTACGGTGGGCAGATACGCACGTCTCCGTCGTGGCCATCGTCCATGGCCATGAGCGTGTCCGTGTCGTATTGATCCATACCTTATATATCCTGTACAGCTAGTGTCTGTTCAGTTTCAATGCCGGCCATGGCCTGGCTTCAACGACAGGATCACCGGACTTCCTGTGCGATTTTTTTTATTTTTAACACTATTTTCAAATCTAACACCTCATAACTTCCTTTTTTAACCTTTTTGGCTGCGCCATGCATGGATATATTATTTTTTAAACATCTTAACGACCTTAAAAGAAAAAACACAATACTAGAAAGTGTAGATCTCGTCGAGAGCAACAATTTTCATATAAAGATCATCTTTATCCGGGATCATATGAAAAAGATACAATTTATCTAAGTTGCGCCACGTCAACGAGTCTTCGCTCGGTTGACTGCCACGTGGTAGGCTCGCCGCGCCTTCATGCATGACGCGATAGTGTGGTTTTGCCGCGCCGACATGCATGACGCGGTCAAAATGG